AGAATAAACCAGAAACCATCAGATATCTCCTAACTCCAGAAGCTCTTGACCATCCATTCCGTCCACCCTTATAAACAACGGGGTTTGTGAAATTTAAAAAGTCAACTTTCAAGTGACAAGTCCCTGTAAAACCAAGGGGCTGTAAATCTGCACAATTTGTTGTGAGAATTGAATTTTACAAAGAAATCATCAAAATTTACCCTCCTTAAAGATGAGCCCGCAAATACGTGCTTGCAAATTTCTACCTCTGGAGCCGCATAGACAGTTTCACACCTTCTTGGTCACAATTTCCCTCACTAGGCTATTTAAATGTGCCAAAACCTACCCTGAGGTTGAATTTCACGGACAGCCGATTGCAAAGAGCTTCTTTTTCCCCTCAAATTCAACCTCAAGGAATCGTGACATTGCCCATATCATGCCTATATGTATCCAACAATCTTGACTTTTCACTCTCCCATCCTCAGTTTCCATTTTTCCTACCGTTCTACCTGATTGCCAGTCCATCCAATAGCACTTTTTTCTCTAACATTCTACCCACTGCCCATTCCCATCCTGTGAACTCACTCATTCTCTCCAGCCAATCGCTTCGCTCTTTTCTCTAACATTTTCTTTACAGCCCAGCCCATCCACACCCAATAATCTCATCGATACCCCCTTTAGAATCTGTTTCAATCCTTCTCTATCATCCTAATACTGCCCTTCTCCATCCAATAGTTCTATTTGCTCAATCAAACCTCTTTATACATAAAACCTCACATCCAAATTTCCTTCGAGCCCTTCAAGTATAGCCATCATGCAATTGCCATCTCCCACACCATCCGCACCAACCACTGCAACTCCAGATCACCATCTAACTCACTGGGGATTTCCCTTGGGCAAAGATCAAGTAACATTCATTGATCATGATTGTATTATTGACACCGAGGGCTACCCACTTTATCCCAACAACAACACCATATTTGTACTACAACCTGGCACCGAGATCACCAACTTTGGCACAGTAGGATTTTCAAAGACCACCTCTTCTGAAATTTCAAAGGACCGACGCTGGAAAATATCCCGCGCGCACTGCCTTGGGGTTATTGTCTGTGATTGCAAAGGTTGTGAGTACGCTGGACCCACCCCTACAGGCCAAGGGAAGATTGAGGAGCTCATCCGCATGTAAGTCTCAATATTCTGCTTCAAATGATTCTTTTTATGTATCAATTGCAAGATGCTTATTTTGTGTTTTATTTGCATCCTTCAGTAGGCCATGCTGCCCAGCTGCCGACTGCACAGGGAAGATCTACTGGAAGGAATGTCGGAATACCCAAACTAGGTTTGATCACGAAGTCAGTACTGGCTGGAGGCTGATGCGGCACCAAGGATTTCATGACCACCCATGGCCAACCTCAAAGAAACCCGACCGTCTAGCCAGGAAACTGCTCGCCTTGGAAGTGGCCAAAAATCCAAAGGCTGGGGCTCTACAACTCAAGGTTTGGCTCAATCCTCTAACTTAATGGTTTGAGTCAACCAGATCTCCTCGGACTGTTGCTAATGTTTTTTTTTCTCATGTTATTTATAGGTTGGAAACCCTGATAAATCTCATGAACCCGACAATGGGATTGCCAGTATACATGGCTTGCTGGTAAATTCGGATCGACTCCGGCACCTTCGACGACAGATCCTTTGTGATTTAAACCTCGCCCCCAGTAAAGATGGAGATGGAGCAGGTGATAGATTCATGCATGACATGTTCACATGGGACGAGTTGAGTCAAAGCAAAAGTACTCCATCCCTTTTGTCAGCGGTATCAACTAACCACCAGAAATACTTGAGAAAGACGTGGCTTGGCAGTCATTTCAAGTTCGTTTAGGCACGGGAAGGAACACTTTACTTTCCAGACCCCCTGGATGGCGGCACGACTTTTGGATAAAACAAATGATGGGGACAACACGGCCAGTTTCTACCAGGGCGGCTTCATCTCAGACGTTACATATCGTTACTTCAAGTCCGGATACTTACTCACCACATCAATGTACTGCCAGAAGATCAACCGTTGGATTCCAGTACAGCTCAGCTGGATACGCGGCCTTTCCGAGATCTACTATCACATTCATTTTGCAGTTCTTTTCAAACAGTTCATACGGCCCGAAATATTGGTAGAAGAGCGAGAAGCTCTGGCAAGGAATGTTGTTGATTTCTCGCTTGCTCAAATGGAGGGGTTCATATCAGCATATCTTGAAATATTTGGTGGTACAGATCGGGTCACCGCACGCAACAAATTGAAAGGTTGCAAACAGCACTTCCGAGCCTCTGTCACTCGAATCAAACGGAATCGGGCCGTGATCCAGGCTGACGAAGTTGTGAGTTCCAATTCTGATTACCATCCTCAGTCCATGCCACCTTTTTTGACATTGATTTTAAGTCCCTATTTGAATCAATGTGCGAGTCATTGCTACTTTGCAATGAAGATGGCGGCCCCACCCACGGCGAAAAAATCGATGCCTTACATCGCCGGTTCCCCAAGGTGCGCAGGTGGATCGACTGGTGGACTACGGCAGACATCGAGGCTATGCTTTTTCCCAGCCGGCGTCAAATGTTGGACGACAGTCCCAACACCGATGACGGTCTTCCAGATACAACAAATGCACAAGAGAGCATGCACAGAGTCTACTACATGCTCAGGTCAGTGGGATTGATTTCTTACACCACGTTTCTTCACCTATAATTTCATAATAACTAAAACTACTGTTGAATTTTTTTATAGCACGGGTAAAAAATCTCTCATGATTGGGATGATTGAGCTCTATGCATTTGTCACGGCCCTGGAGAAGGACTGGGTACAAGTCCAGCGAGGCATTCCGATTGCTTATGGCTCCCTTCCGGCAAAACAAGTCAACATTTCGCAGTCAGTTGGATGGAACAAAGCAACTAAGAGACAGAAAGCCGCTTGGAACGATGGCCGAGCCCCAGACACAACCAAACAGCTCCTTGCGGCATCTGAACAACCAATGAAACATGCCAAGTTAGGTAGACCGAAGAATTCACCAAATGTCAACAAGGACCCTCAGTCCACCTATGTCTCCTACGGAGCTTCGACTAGTACGCTGGGGCGCAATCGATGTTGGCTCGCGGCCGCGTTAGAATCGCTTTATGCAGTTTACAGCCCACTGTGGCTCCAAGAACCCGGTGGAAAACAGAACGATCTATTCTTTGTACTCGTATCCCACTTCACAACACGGTCAACTTACGAGATGTGCAAGAGCCCACAAATACGTTCAATCCTAACGCGCGGTTCAAACAAGATATTTATCGAGACACAGAAACTTTACCCACTCAATTTTATCTCTGGGGCCTTTTCCTCATGTGATTTATTTTTGGAACTTGTCTTGGACGTCAAGAAGAATAAGTCCAAGACGCTACCAAAATTGTTTTGTGTCCAGGAAAACCGATCCTTCACTTGTCCGCTCCACCCTGGGCAACAGCAACATCCCCGAGGCTCTCGCCAGCTAGGTTTCCTCAACATCACAAAATCGATGTTTGAATCAAATGCAATCGACTGTACAAACGCAGCAGAGCTGATCAATCGATGGGCCACCGGGGGCCTAGACGGGACTTCTGGACTACAATGCTCGGCATGTAACAGCAAGCCATCCTGTAACACTTCACCATCCTCCAACTACCTACTTGAGAGGTCTACAATCTCGATTATCAATGGTGCACCTCCGGCACATTTACACTTTCATGTCAATGTGGCATTGCTCTCCACAGAGGATGAGCAAATTCAGTTCATGGGGGCAATCCATTGGCCATTCAAACTGAGATTTGCCGGGGAGGAATACACCTTGATTTCTCGTGGCTTTTGGGGGAATTCCCATTACTGGGGGAAGGTCTTGAGACACATCAATGGTGTCACCGTCGTCTGGATGCACGATGACCGATCAAATGCCGGGATTGCACAATTGGTCGACCGGGTTCCGGGCAGCATTAGTGGGGCACAACCACACACCAGCTGGTTGATCTACTCTCAAAGGTGGACTTCGGATGAGAGTGCCTTTATCGACCAAAGCATTGCAAATATCCAGCGCGACAACCCCACAGCAAAAGCAGATGATATTCCTTTCATCAATATGGGGGCTGTGCTCCAAGCTACCTACGATTCTGCTTTGCCTCATCTTACACAAGGGCAAACAACCCAGGATAATTCTACCGTAGCAATCACACATTCACATGGTGAAAACAAACGGCAAGGTGTGTAATCGTATCGGTCTCTCTGAATTTATCAACTCGAGCACAACTGAACAATTTCTTGTTTCTTTTATGTTTACTTAGATGCTGAACATATGCTACCACCGGTCAATTCAAATTCCGAGGGCCTGAAGATTCGCATACGAAGGATCCAAACAGACGTTCACTCTCCTTCCATCCCTGCAGAGTTAGCTGTTGATCGTGGCGGTGGCCCCAAGGAGAATGCAACTGCAACAAAACCCTACCCGACTGTGTTGTCCTCGGACCCACCTCTTGATTCTGAAACACAAAATTTTGTGGAACAGCCTCTTTCAACGGAACCACCAGAAAAGCCCAAGAAAAACACAGAGCCACATCGGGCCAAGCCTCGCATTTTTGCCGGAAAGACCAAGAAACCCAAGGCGCTGCTTGGTCGGCCAAAGGCCAGGAAGCTTGCAGACAAGAAATTCATCCCGGAGCCTTTGACTGACGCCGACTGGGCTCGCATATCGGCCACTTATTGGAATAACCGGCGGAAGGAGGAGGAGATGTTGTTGGCTTCGGATTCAAAACATGCGGCAGCGACTGGATCAAGTAAAATGGTGGAGACGGTCGATGATCCTGATCTCACTGAGACCACTCAACAGAATTCACGAGCCCCTGGCGCGAAAGCCGTCCGTTGGTCTGCAAGAAACCGCCGTGTGTGATGAGAAGGGACTGCAACTTACTCTTTTTCTGTTGATTATTATTATTATTTTTCTTTCATTAGCAAGTTCAGAGCCTTTGTCTCTTTTTTTGTGGTTGTAATGCTAGGTTTTCACGCTAGAAGGTGGTCCCCCCACCCAATGAGGAGTTGGGGTTTTTTATCAATTTTTGGGTAGTGTTTTTTGTATGGATTGCATGAGTTTGTAATATTGTCAGTGTAAATTTGAATTTTGTGTTTATATTCTGCGGGTTTGCAAAGCCCATGTTTTACGGTGCTCAGGCTTTGTGCGCGGGTCTTTGCAACGCTGAACAAGTGCTGGGTTTGTGAGCAAATTTACATGGTAATAATTGAGGTGAGTTGTCTTACAAAGGATGAAAGGAAGTGAAGCATTGTAAATTTCAATTTAATTTGTATGTGGAGTAGTTTTTCAAAGAACGGGATTTGCAGGGTCTTGTCGCCTGGAAAGACACTTTTTAAATTTCCACATCCCCATAAACAACTCATCATCCTCAACAGGTAGTATCTTCACTAAGATAAATTTTAGAAATCTACCACACTATTATTTTCTTAGTGTAACTCTCTCACAAGCTAGACAAGGAGGACAGTCTCACCCACACCCATTTATTATTAATACTATCCCATAGTTTTATTAATATTTATCCCCTCCAAGCTCTTCACTCATTCACTGAGCAGTTCCACATCAGTCAATGAGTCGATTTTTGAAACTTGATTGATCAGCAATCAAATTTAACCTCAAATGATTTTGATTGATGAAGATTGTGATTGTGGTGAGCAACTGTCAAAGAAGGGGAACATGAAGATTATCGGCGAGAAATGCAGTTGCTTGCAGAAGAAAAGAGAATGACGCAATTGATCTGAGTGTCATGATCATAGTCGAGAATGACACAATGCATAACTGATTATCCATAAAATGTGCAAGTTTGGATTTCACAACAGTATCCTCCCGGGTACTGCCTCAAGCCCCCCAGAGGCGTGCATGTCTGCACACCAGGAAAAAAAAGAAAGAAAGAAAAAGTGTGCAGGACACCTGTCCTGCACACCAGCCAGCTCAATCCCAGCTTGTTGGAAGGAATCCCTTCCAAAAAGCTGGTCTGTAAATCAAATCTTCAGGAGGAACCCCTTACAATTAGCTGGTTTGTAAATCAACTCGTCGGGAGGAACCCCTTCTGACAAGCTGATCTGTATACCATCTCGTCAGAAGGGGTTCCTCCTGACAAGTTTTATACAGCTGGTTTGAAGGTCTAAACCAGCTCGTCGGGAGCAACCCCTCCCGATGAGATGGTATACAGATCAGCTTGTCGGAAGGGAATCCTTCCGACAAGCTGATTTGAAAACCGGTCGCCTGTTGATCCATATAAGGTCTCAAGGCTGGGAGGAACCCCTCCCGGCCTCAAGACTGTATGACTATTTGCGGGTTTTTGACACAAAGTACCTGCTGTACCCGCCCAAAGTACCGCCAGTACCTGCCATATGCCAGCAGGTGCGGTACCTGGTGCCATTTCTTGGCTAAAAAAGCATCTGGTACCTGGGTCCCGTGAGGCCATATTTAGTACTTAATGATGATGGTAAGTTCTGTGAGTACGCGCATCCTTTCTTCATCAAGTCTCCCCGGGTATAAGCACGGAGATGATGCACAAAAGGGGCTAGTGCCGCCTAGTGCGCAAAGACCGTAGAGATGGAATGGCAGGTACCTGTCTGAATTTCATATGACCTGATTTAAAGTTCTTGAGATCAAATAACATCAATATTTGTCACTTTCATCTCATCAAGTACCACTTTGACTTGAGGAAGACACTAAGCTAGCTTTATAGCAAGGCACATGTACAATCACAGATTCCAAATACCTGCGCACAGGTACCTGCCAACAGGTATACCCGTTGACAGGTACCTGTGTGCAGGTATTTGGCATCTGTACTCTTACCTGTGCCAGCCCATGCAGTTAGGTGAGTGTCTTCCTCAAGTACAAGTGGTATTTGATGAGATGAAAGTGTTAAATATTGATGTTCTTTGATATCAAGCACTTTGAAGCCGGTTCCATTAAAATCAGACAGGTACCTGCCATGCCATCTCTAAAAGACCGCATTTATGTGGGAAAAAAGGGGGTCACATCTTTTGCCTTCTGCCCTTTTACCTAGAAAGACTCAGAAGAATTATGGGCAAGGTGAGGGGGAGAAGAGGGGGTCTCATTCTCTAAGCCCCCCTGGTACATGGGTGGGTGGGTGGTGTGAAAGAAAAACCTCGGAGAACTTGAAGAAGTGTCTTTAGGGTGAGTGGCGACAAGAGCTGGGGAAAGTCAACAGAGGGGTTGAGAAAGAGAGAGAGGATAGCCGGAGTCTCTTTATCCAACAGGCTGAAAATCCTCTGATTTGTCAACAAGAGAGCACGGACTGGTCCGTGCTCCACTGGTCAGTTTGGCCCAGCTCTAAGCCTGGATGGCCATGGACGGCGGGGACTAGTCTGCGCCTCCGTCACCTCACATCTAATTAAAGTCTCTATAGGGTAGCTACTTATTGGTGATGGCATTGGGTCATGTGGATGGGGTATAATGTTCAATCACTTTTGTTTTTGGCTGATTAAATTTGGTAACTGGTATTGGAATGTGAAGTGAGCAGATTTGTTAAGGTAGATAACTAATAAAGGGTTTGTAAGTGAAAGGGGTGGTGTAGTTGTCCAAGTGGGAAGGGGTAGCGGCCAGGGGTTGGGTCTGTCGGGATTCAAACACCGGACTCGTCACCCGAAGCAAGTATAGTATGTTGCACAGGGGTTACACCAAGCTTCCGTGGGTGATGGTTACCGCTAGGCCATCCAGGCCCTTGTAGAGCATTCACCAATGCATAGGGTAGATGCTACAGGTACAATAGAGGAGTCTACAAGGTATAACCCCATGACTATGCGTGGTTAAACCCCATAGTTATGGATTTAGGCATGTCCAAATACATGCATGCAGCAAAAAAATCAAGAACCACTGGTTCAGAGGCTTAGTGGTTACAATTATGAGCTCTACACATGTGCACGAGTTCAAAAACGCAATAAAATTGGGTGTGTGGGTAGGGTATATTCCCTGCATGTCAATTTTGAATTTTGTGGGCGGGGCAGGGTTGGTTTATGCTGTCCGCAACTGTACATAGAAAAGAGTCATTGATGGATTCGATGGGTAACCAGGAAGTATGGAAGCCCTGGACCAACATCAATTGCGCCTGGGCTTTTGGACTTTGGAAAGAGTTTTTGCCTTCGGTATTAGATTTTGTATTGCCAGATGCCAGTGTGACTTCCCAAACTGGCATCTTCTGTATGCTATATATATGTACATATTTTCCCACCTCACCCTCCATAATGAGAAGCCCATACCCCAAAATGAAAAACAAAACCAACCCCAAAATTGCACTACACAGCGGGCTTAATCCCCCTTTGTGGCCATTGGCCCAACTGCCGTCCTCAAGAACCAACCTCAGTTCCAATGATGTGTTTGATGTGACAACCGCGTGCCAGATTCTGATCCCGCACTGTGTAATTCAAGATGAACATAATTATTCCTAATTATTCTAATTTCTACCACCTTTCTTTTCCTCTACATACTCCGCTTCTTGTTGGATTTTTAGGCGGTAAAGCCAAAGAAATATACTTTTTGATTCTTGATGAGAGGGATAAAGTGCTTGCAACAAAGACTGAAGAAGGGCTTAAGTGCTCCTTCAGGAATGGTCTAAAAGGAATAAAGAACCGATAATTTTTATTTCTTTAGTAACTAGAGTGTTTAAATAATCTAGATAGTAGATACAAAAGCACAAAATGTGGGAGCCAGTATTGATGCATATTGAATAAAGATAGAAAGAAAACCGGTGACAAAGGAGTGACATTCAAGAGAAAGAGTAGAGAGAGAGAGAGATCAAGGCAAAATTTCAACACCCCTCCTGAGCCAGAGATCAATTGGTTAGAGATGAAGGTCAGGGTATTTCTGTTGAAGGTATTCTTCATCTTCTTGTGTGTAATGAGTGAGCTGAGTTGAATGTTGTTTAGCTGAGGACACGACCGGATTGAGTTTGTGTTTGTCAGGGTACTTTTGAAAACAATTGGCTTCAGTGTGACGTGTGACCGCTCTTGGCTCGGAATCCTTGTTTGCAATGGGGACAAGCTTAAGTGATTTTGGGGTTAGAAGATTGAGTGAACATAGTGGATTGAGACGAGATCAGCGCAAATGGTGATCTCTTGATTTCGTTTAGTTGATTTTGAGCAGCAAAATCCTCCAACTTTTTCAGTACTTGATTGAATGTCTTGGTTTCAAAGTTCATGAAAATGTTGGTCTTGAAGGAGTGAAATTCTTGAGGGAGTTTTTCAATCATGAATATTTTTAACTTGATTGTCGAGAGCGAGTTTGGATAGAAATACTTTTTGATTGGCTGATCAAATAAGAGGGAGGAAAGATGAGAACAAGTTGTATTCAACGGCTAAGTATGCCTTTTTATCATGCATGGTTGCCTTTTTCTCTTATTCCTACCTTTTGCGCACAACCTCGCAGTAGTAACATGCTACAAAAGTAATCTTGTGCAAAGTGCTTCAAGTCACATGTGATAGATCTGGATGATAGCTGGACCAGTGATGCTGGCTTGACCTCACAGGGAGACTCCAACTTCATCAACCTTTCTAATCATCTCAAGGTGAGAGCTTCATGAAAGGATCTCTTTTGTCACGTTGTTGGTAGTCAAAGGATGCTGGTATATACACTACCAACCGAGAGTTGGAGATATTGGGGGTGGAAGGGTTGTTGAGGATTGGGGTTTCACAAGATGGGGGGTGGGTATCATGGATCCCACAGCGGTATAAAGGGAGGTACCAGGACGGTAGATCTACCACCTCGGTACATTTTTTGGACTGAAAATGTAGCTTACCACCCATGGTGGCGGGGTGTTTTGGGAATAGGGGTGGTAAACGGGGCTTAAAACCCCGATTTACCACCCGCGGTGGAGATGCTCTTATGCAACTGGACCCCCCGTCATGGAAGAAACATCCGTCCTTGGCGGTTGTTTGTGGTCCCTCTAGTCCAATGACCAGGTTTTGATCTTTTTGTCTTACTTCTGTTCAAATTGGGTGGCAGGCCTTTAGTTTACTCTTCCACGTTGTCCAAAGTTGGTCGGAATTTATTCTTCTCTCTATGTTTAACCTGCAACCTCACACCAGGTAATCTGAACCCATCATTTTCCACATCATCCACACCCCTGCAGTCACCTTCCTCATGAGAAATTTGTCTTGAGCTCAGGAAGAATCCCGACTGGAACACCTTGGACCTCTCCTCACCGCTCTAATCATTACCACCGCCATTGAGAACCCCAACAATGTTTGCAGAAACTCAGCCCCTCCCTATGGACACCAAGCTGTCCTAAAATTTGCTGCCAACACTGGATCTCAAGCTATTCACTTGTCAGTATAAATCTTGATTATCTATTATGTTGGAAGGTCTAGATGATTGAAAACTGTTCTATTTGGAAACAAAAAAAAATCCAGTTGGAAACTTCACGGCCAACTACATCACCCAATCCGTCAAAGAACCTCAATTGATTGTTTGTTATGATCCCAACAAACAAGAAGGTGATTGTTTGTTATGATCCCAATGAACAAGAAGGGAAAATACTTGGTTGGTTTGATCTGGTGGCTCTTGTGTCAAGAGGTCATCCACCTCCAAGGTACCATTGTAAATCCTTGCCAAAATGACCCTTATCCAATCACTACTGACAAATGTCACCTCCCTTCAGAGTGTTTCCAGTTCTGTTCTTTTGGGAAAGAAGAGAGGTGAATATGCCAGACTCAAATCAATTCTGCAGTTGCTTCAAGGCTGACACCTTGACCCTTCACTCTTGGGTTTGTGGAGCTAGACCCCACATCATCAGATGGACCTAGATGCATGTCAGGTATGAGAGGGATTCCCAATTGTAAAAATTAATTTCTTGCTGTCTCATCAACCAGTGCATCCAGACCCCATGCACCAAGATCCCTCCTCCTTTGCATGCATAGACGCCTCAGTGGACATCTTTCCAGACCGTCCCACACAATGATAATCCAGAAGTTGGCCATCTTAAGGTTTGTGGGGATTATCCCACAGATCTTGGTGGTTGTACTGAAGGAGAAACAGAGTGATGGTAGAGCGGATGGAAAGCACACCTTGATAAGGAATGTGGACCAAGGGAGGGGGGGGGGTCAAGATGGCCAATTTCATCCAAAGAGATGCTGGTGTGGTTATTTTTTTTACAAATAACAGGTTTGGAATGAGAAAAAAATATGTACTATGAAACAAGAAGAACCATTTACAATCATTCAGAACATGAAGCCATGGCTGCCTCAGATGATAGGAGACGGTGGTGCATACAAATGCAAGACAGATACGGGCAAGTAAGTACATCATGAAATGACCTCAGGCAATTCACTATAATCAGAGCTTCCAGTATCTGAGCCATCAAAGACACCACGGTTTCTGGAAGCAAGAATCCTGTCAAACGCTGGTGGTTGACAAGGGGTTGGCCAAGTCCATTTTAAGTTGATGGCCATAGTTCCATTTCCTAATTTGAGAATGTTGCAAACTGTGGTGCAGATATGCTCTTCTAAAAAGGCAGCCATACCAGCACCAGCACTGTTCCCCTCCTTCCAAGAACTTCAAACAGGTCAGTTAAAATAATAATGAATTAGTTAGTTGTATTGAAATTTACTTACTCCGAATTCAAATCCACCACTTGTGGATCAGTGAGAATGGCCCTAAATCCTTGAAGATCACATACAAATTGCTGGCCTTTTGATTGATTATACGACCAATGCGTCAACACATTCATCAGGGAAAGATAATTGGGATCCATTCTCTTTTTGTTGGGTGCCGTGAGACATTGAAGTTAAGATTTCTGGAATATTTTACAAAGGTTCCGGCAAGGTAACTCTCAAAGAAGTAGAAATTGCCTGGGTTATCTATTTTGCTGATTATCACAACACAGTGTCTAACAAGCTGTGTGATACAAGGTGGCATTATGATTGCACTTACTAAACATTTAATGCAGTGGCATAAAAAGACACAAACAATGACTTACTTCAGTTTGACTCCCTTTGAACTTCAGGACACCATCAAGTTTCTTGCTAATGATCTCTTTGAATTTGGCCAGGATAAGTTCAAAACCATAATAAGTTATGGCATCACTGGCATGATTAGCAACATTGGGTGTAGGGTCAGAGTACCATAGCCTGGCAACCCATTTGTTGAAAGGTGGTTGATAAGCGCAAGCCAACCCCCCTTGCGCACACCAATCTGCACACCACTTGCAGATTGGTGTGCAGGCTCACACGCCAAAGCAGATTGGCATGCAGGCCTGCACGCCAATCTGCTACAAGGTTGATTGGCTTTCAGGTCCTAAACCCATATTAATATGGGTTTAGGACCAGGGCTATCCCATAGGACCCAGGCATGGGTCCTATGGGATAGCCTATGTAGTGTTTGAAAAAAAAACATGTCGATCCTTGTAGGACACCGGCCGGTGTCCTACAAGGTCAACAAGGCCCACCTTTCCAGCCAGGAGGGAATCCTACTGGCCGGCAAGGTTGTACAACCTTGTTGACCAGGAGGGAATCCTGGCCGGAGAGGCTGTGCAACCTCGTCAACTAGGAGGGAATCCTACTGGCCGGTGAGGTTGTACGACCTCTTTGACCTGATCCTCCTGGTCTCAAGGCCGAGAGGAATCCCTCTTGGCCTTGAGCCATGTACAGTCTCAAGGACGGTGTGGGATACTTTATGGTTTCCCATCCAACAACTTCAAAAATTTTATATTTTCTTGTATATACAATAATATTACACCAAATATGGCTCCAGGAAGGGATTCCAGGGCCAAAATTACCCTAGAGGAGCAGGCTTGGACACATGTAACCCCCCTGTGTTGCATGTTACACCCCTCTTTTACTCACAGGTAGGGGGGTCAAGCACCCTTACATGTTACAAGGATATCAGGTACACATTTCACCCCTCTGGGCCATGTGAACTGGCATCTGTACATCTCAAGCAAGTACAATGGAAGTATGCAGGCACAGCATACAGGTTACCTTGGCAACCTGTCATGCGATGTGTACAGCCTCAAATACAGGATGACATCATGCGGCTTACAGAACACAGCCTGCAGGTTGCTAGGTTGCATAGCAACCATTGCACAGCTTGTCAATCCAACGGAAACCACTCAACTTCTCAAATCACATCATGTAGGCTGTACCACCAGCCAAAACCCCTCATGTATTCTTCCATCTTGGCCAAATTCCCTCATGTAAGGCTGTACAACCAGCCAAAATCCCTCATTCCTGGCTCCCCTGGAGCCAAAATACCTCATTATTGTCTATATAAGGAGGCCCTTCCTCCCAGTTGTAATTTCTCCCCAGCAGACTTCCTGCAGACATTTCCCCACATAACAGGCAAATCACTGCTCACTCCATAATATTATTTGTTCCCCAATATTTTGGTTTTACAATTATAACAGCCCTTACATACAATTATTACAACATCTTTACACATAACAACAACCCATTTTTGCACCTGTCCACCTGTTAAACAACAGAGTATCTTTTGATACACTCCACTATCACTAATTAAAAGCTGCCAATCTAAGATTGGTGGTCTTGTTTAGTGTAGTACACAGGAAAGGCAGAGGTTACCTCACACATCCCTTTCCGAACTCAGCAAAAGGTTCTCACAAACACTTTTGAGCTTAACACCGGGAGGAACCCCTCCCGGCCGTGAGACTGGACAGCCTTTCGGCTGGGTTCCTCCCGGCCTTGAGACTGGACAGCCTTTTGGCTGGAAGGGGTTCCTCCCAGCCCAAAAACTTATTTTTTGCCTTTTTTGCACTTTCTCCATGGGCTATTCCAGAGGACCCAGGCATGGGTCCTATGGGATAGCCCCAGTCCCAAACCCATATTTATATGGTTTAGGACCCAGATTGGCATGCAGGCCTGCATGCCAACTGCAGGAAAATCTACCCTGATGCAGATTGGCGTGCGCACCTGCACACCAATCTGCTTTGGTGTGCTCAAGGGGGGATGGCGTGCACTTATCATTCCCCTTGTTGAAAATCTCTTTACCCTGTTCTAATGAGCGGACTTGAGCAGCAAAAGAGCGGCAACTGGAACCCTCCCCTAAAACCTTTCCACTTTTGACTTTGATTTCAAAAGGGAAGGTGACCACACATATGTAATCATTGATAGTGGAAGATTTGTGCAATGCTCCAGATGGTGGTTGTTCATTGATGGTATAGAAATGGACGCTTAGTGCAGGAATCCACCCATCAGTCTTCATCACAATTGACTGGCCAACTGGGTGACTGAGGGTGTTGAATTGGGACAAAAGACTGGTGGCTCCCCTTGCAGGTTTGGTGGAAATCTTTCCCCCAAGGGCCCAGGTTGCCGCTTTAGATGCTCTTGGTTGATCACCTGAATATTTTCTCTTGGAGTTTGTGTGAGATAAAGTTAGGATTTGTGTTTCAGGAAAGGAGTCCATAGGATGCTGTTAGATTAGGTGGATGTAAAGATGGCCCCATGGGACCCGGGTACCGGATGCTTTTTTAGCCAAGAAATGGCACCAGTTACCGCACCCGCTGGCATGAGATTGTACAAGTCCCAAAGAACGGGAGAATCCCTCCTGGACATTGAGACTGTACAAGTCTCAAAGACCGGACAGAATCCCTCCCGGCCATCAAGACTTTTACAGTCTTGATAGCCGGGAGGGATGCCTCCTGGCCCTCCAGACCAGGCGTGCAGGCCAACCCACCCTTTTTTGGGCGGGTTGTACTGCACACCCCTCTTGTTGCAAATGTCAGCAAACATAGGGGTGTGTAGCAAAACCGGCCCAAAAAGAAGGGCGGGTCTTACTTCCCGCCCCTTTTGGAGGGGCAGGGGCGTGGGCGGGCGGGAAGGGGGAGGATGTGCCTTTATCAACGCACGGGTTGGGGGGATAGGTAATTTGAGTTTTTGAGAGGATTTTTTCAGAAAACAAGCCCCAGAGATGATGACAAAAGTCTTCATAAAATTTGGGCTTCTGGGTGTTGACCTCCAACAACTTAGGAATAATGCCAGTTTTTTTTTGTAAAACATCATCTATGTACACAGAGACACCAGCTTTGACAAAGCGTTTTTCTGGGGAAGGCTTGGGGTCTGGAGTGCAAGAACAACTGGGACATCTGAACTTTGGTGTGGAAAGGTCAGCTTTTTTCTGGACATGGGCCTCTTGAGCTAAGCCTTTGTAAAAAATATGTGTTCTGGTATCAAGAGCAGGTAGGGAACGATGGGGAATTGGCAAGTACAATGGACCTGCAGTGTGGATGTTGCATGGTTGGATTTGGGTGCAGGTGGTAGAGGGGCCAGAAAGGGCTGATGGGGTGAGTTGTGTAGGGGAAGATTGGATGTCTGAAACAATACAATCAAGGCAATGATTTTTGAAATGTCTACTTTTAGACCATCTGTTGCACTTGATGCATTTGAGCATGTCAGACATCCTAACAGAGAATTTGAAATGGTTCAGGTGTAAGATTAAACACAGATAAATTTGTCGACTCCCGTATCTGACGGGCAGCATTTGTGCCCTATTTTTACTACTGGTTGTGTTCTGATGTTTCGCTCCCGCAGTACAATGTATCAATAACCTGGCGTAGTGTAGGGGACAAATGGTATGGGTTCAATACCCTACACGTAGCCCGGTCTGATCAATCCCGTGATCAAACATCCAACGCCTCACACCCACC